ATATTTGCACTTTTAATATTATGTATATCTATATAGCCACATAGTAAAGCAGCTATATTTTATTGTCAGAATGGATTGTATAATACAAATGACAGCAACATTGCAACACAATGACATCAAAAATTATCCCCATCAATTTAGATTGCCAGCATGTCCTCTTTTTATTCAAAATATTGTCTCGCAACAAAATTTCAGTAATTTTGATACCTAAGGCTGACTAGTATAACAAAATTATTTGAACGCATCAACAAAAACTGACCATATTTGCACATTATTATGTATATCTATATAGCCACATAGTAAATCAGCAATATTTTGATGTCAGGATGGATTGTATAATACAAATGACAGCGACATTGCAATACAATGACAACAAAAATGTATTCCCATCAATCTAGATAGCCAGGATGTCCCCTTTTTATTCAAAATATTGTCACGCAACAAAATTTCAGTAGTTTTGTTACCTCAGGCTGACTCGTATAACAAAATTATTTAAACAAATCAACCAAAACTGACCATATTTGCATTTTATTATGTAAATCTATATAGCCGCATAGTAAATCAGCAATATTTTGTTGTCAGAATGGATTGCATAATACAAATGACAGCAACATTGCAACACAATGACAACAAAAATTTGTCCCCATCAATCTAGATTGCCAGCATGTCCTCTTTTTATTCCAAATATTGTGTCGCAAGAAAATTTCAGTAGTTTTGATACCTCAGGCTGACTCATATAACAAAACTATTTTAAAGTATCAACCAAAACTGACCATATTTGCACTTTATTATGTATATCTATATAGCCGCATAGTAAATCAGCAATATTTTGATGTCAGGATGGATTGTATAATACAAATGACAGTAACATTGCAATACAATGACAACAAAAATTTGTCCCCATCAATCTAGATAGCCAGCATGTCCTCTTTTTATTCAAAATATTGTCTCAAGAAAATTTCAGTAGTTTTGATACCTCAGGCTGACTTGTATAACAAAATTATTTTAAAGCATCAACCAAAACTGACCATATTTGCACTTTTAATATTATGTATATCTATATAGCCACATAGTAAAGCAGCTATATTTTATTGTCAGAATGGATTGTATAATACAAATGACAGCAATATTGCAACACAATGACAACAAAAATTATCTCCATCAATTTAGATTGCCAGCATGTCCTCTTTTTATTCAAAATATTGTCTCGCAACAAAATTTCAGTAATTTTAATACCTAAGGCTGACTAGTATAACAAAATTATTTAAACGCATCAACAAAAACTGACCATATTTGCACATTATTATGTATATCTATATAGCCACATAGTAAATCAGCAATATTTTGATGTCAGGATGGATTGTATAATACAAATGACAGCAACATTGCAATACAATGACAACAACTATTTGTTCCCATCAATCTAGATAGCCAGCATGTCCTCTTTTTATTCAAAATATTGTCTCGCAACAAAATTTCAGTACTTTTGATGCCTCAGGCTGACTCGTATAACAAAATTATTTAAACAAATCAACCAAAACTGACCATATTTGCACTTTATTATGTAAATCTATATAGCCGCATAGTAAACAACAATATTTTGATGTCAGAATGGATTGCATTATACAAATTAAATGACAGCAACATTGCAACACAATGACAACAAAAATTTGTCCCCATCAATCTACATGTAGATAGCCAGCATGTCCTCTTTTTATTCAAAATATTGTCTTGCATGAAAATTTTAGTAGTTTTGATACCTCAGGCTGACTTGTATAACAAAATTATTTTAAAGCATCAGCCAAAACTGATCGTATTAGCACTTTATTATGTCATGTATGTAAATCTATATAGCCGCATAGTGAATCAGCATATAGCCGCAAAGTAAATCAGCAATATTTTGATGTGAGGATGGATTGTATAATACAAATGACAGCAACATTGCAATACAATGACAACAAAAATTTGTCCCCATCAATCTAGATAGCCAGCATGCCCTCTTTTTATTAAAAATATTGTCTCGCAAGAAAATTTCAGTAGTTTTGATACCTCAGGCTGACTCGTATAACAAAACTATTTTAAAGTATCAAACAAAACTGACCATATTTGCACTTTATTATGTAAATCTATATAGCAGCAGCCGCATAGTAAATCAGCAATATTTTGATGTCAGGATGGATTGTATAATACAAATGACAGCAACATTGCAATACAATGATAACAAAATCTTGTCCGCTTTAATTTAGAGTGCCAGCATTTCATCTCTGTATTCGTTATATAAAACTGTCACTAAAGTCAGTATCAGTATCTGTATTTCCCACTTCCATGACTTCTGAATATGGACGGGTACATCACAGATTCCTTTTGGGCTATGGGTTGGTCTGCGCATAAATTAGTCGTGCTTGCTGAGGTATGATGATTTAAACTCAGTAGTTCAGGATGGTTTGTATAATAAAACTATTCCACCTCATCATCCAACAGTGTGACTGACATGACAGATTTCATTTGTACTTTATAATGAAAAGTATGAGAAGTTCTCTTCTAGGAAAAGTATACTGTTAGTATATTATGTCGGTTGGTTGATTTTGTTGGTGGCTAAATATCAAGTGGCAAATATTTCATTCCGTTTCACATAAGTATATTTTTTCGGACGTTCAAGATATCATTTATAATCCGTAAAGACAAATCTAACGAAATTGACGAGATTGTTCATAATTATACAACACCTTATGTGCAATAACACTGTACAATTTTCCTTTGAACATTTTTTGGAAAACAGAATCGTAAATCCAAGGCAAACATAGGTGAATGACGATAAGATATTTATAAAGAGACTGTCAAAAGTGGGGAACGAAGCAACTTTAAAAATGATGTTGATAACCCGTGATATAAAAATACTGTTCCGATGCGTGGATAACCTTTCTATCCGCCTTCTAGTTTAAATAAAATCCTTTCTTTTATGATAACTGCATGTGATCACAAGTGTGTAATTTTAAAGCCATTGTTTAATGTAAATAAGAATATGAAAAAAAAAGATTTTTTAATATGTGTATATTAAATATATATGACATAGAGTCTAACGAGTAAAGTAATTTGCTTTACTGGGAAAAAAGAACAATAGGATTATTATTATTGTTTATGTTTACAATCCGAAAAATTAAAATAAAATGAACTTCGGTTTCAACCAATGAAATGTCGTACACTATTCATTCACACCATTCCCAATCGCACGTTACACAATCACACCATTCCTCATACACCATTACACCATTCCCCTTACACCATACACCATAGCACCATACACCTTCTACCATTGCACCATATGCCATACACCATTACACCATACACGTTATTTTGGGAAGTTTACACCATCCAAGGGCTGTATCTCTTGAGCGAAGTATAAAAGATTCAATCCTCCATGCCATATTTTGACTTAGAATATCAGTGGAACTTTTAGAATTCTAGTTTTCCCTAAAAAAGAAATAATACGGAATCAGTATTAATCTCGGAATAAATGAAAATTTCAACAATTTTATTGTAAATTTATTTTATATCAAATTAAAGTTCTTGCCCTTATTCCCGTAGATCACCTTAAATTATCTTCTACAAATTAGTTGTCTTCTAAAAAAATTGATTTGCATATAAAAACTGTGTTCATGTGTTTGAAATATGTTTTAATGGCCAATGGTATTTTTTTGTTTCCATGTCTTCAAGACACCAACAATTTTCTTCAAGACGTCTTGGATGAGAGGATACAAATAATGAAGTTTCAATAATGTCTTAAAGATCTATGTCTTAAGACATATAAGCCATGTCTCAAGACATACTTGTTTTGGTCACGTGTCTTAAGACGTCTTAAGACATAAGGTGTATGTCTCAAGTCTCTCTCAATTCGTCTTAAGACAACGAGGTTCATTTGCTATGACAACTTATGAATATACATGTACGTGACAATGTTTACCCATTATAAAAATCTGCAAATTAATAGAATGATTCTGTTAATTTCATTTCATGTGTTATTTATTTTGTATGTTATCTTCAAAATACAAATATAATAGACCAATTAGTCCTTAGGCATCAATAAAGTATCAAGATATTTTTTTTCTATCTCAAGACATAAAATATTTTTGCAAGGCTAGGTATCTTCAAAATGCAAATATAAGATTTCGATAAAGCAAGTCCGTAGACATCTACAAAGTATGAACATTTTCATTTTCTATCTAAACATAAAATATTTTTGTTAGGCTAAGTATTTTGGAATTATTTTCGATTTTCAGAACAAAAATTTCATGGAAGACTTAAGCAATCAATAGTTTGTCAATACTTTTGTTTGATATCCTTATTTTATACAAGAATAAGAGTGAACATTCGTATGCACACAAATATTGAGTTCTTGTATGTAGACATTACAAAGACATGTTTGACTCGTTTTTAAACATTTGGTTGAACAAGTATTAATTTTTCGAAGATACTGACAACAGATAAAATATATGTAGTGAGGTAAAAGTTTTATACAGTATGATAAAAAAAGTAAACACTACACAGATTAAGATTTGTAATGTATCATCTAATGGTTAATAAAAGAGTGATTTAACGCATACGATCATATGTGTGATTAGGCTCTGTTCATGGTTCGGAGTGGGTTAATAATTAATAAACCATTAACACTTTGCTTTTTGCACAACGACAATCTCAACATTAGCTATAACAGTATGTGTTGCGGTTAGCGTATTAGTAGTGTTGTCGTATCCGTTCATTGCATGAGACGTCAACCTGTTTGTCGACGACACTTTATGCCTTAAAATTTTGAATTCATTCACCAACCATTTTAATCAGTTTTTTGAAAGAAATAACTATCGACCTACAACATTTCAACAGAAGACCCCATTACAAATATTTTTAAAGTTCAACTTCATATCTTAAGATATTTACTGTATGTCTCAAGACATGGACAATGTCAAAGACGTATTTATAATCAACCATGCAGAAAAATGCATTTATATAACAAACTGTAATTAAACGTCTTAAGACATGAGCAGTATCATGTAAGCCCCGCTCTTCTGTATGGATTCTCGTTGTTTGTACTTGCATACCGGTAAATTGGATTTACTAAAGGGCATAATATAACGCATATTGATAACAATTCAACATCACACATGTACAGAATGAATAAAATAGATTATTGAAATATTCATTGATATGTCAATATTTCAAAATATAAGAAAAACTCAACTATGAAATATGACAGTTGTGTGTTGAAAAATATCAGGTACGCGTCTATTTGAATCGGAAGACCGGTTAAAAAATTCAGTCGTGTAAATTACATCATACTTGAAAACAAACGTTAAAAACACGCATTTATATCTTTGTATATACTTACATTTCTTGATAATTCGATTCACCGTGAAATTACACTTGTCACAAAATTCAGTGCTTGGCTCTGAGTGAGAAATTAAACAAAAACTTATGAATATGCATCATTAGTGGCAAGGTTCCGGTGCAAAAAATAGTTGGCATGCATTTTGTAGCCGGACACACTGACACAATAATAAATTATAAATATTGAATATAACAATTCAGTTTAAAGGCTTAATTTAATTCAAATGATCGTTTTCTAATGTGAAATGCCACAAATGTAAATTGTATTTAAATACAATTTTCTGAAACGCAAATTATACTGTAATATTTCGTATTGGCATTGAGTAGGCACCGGACACATCAATCTAGAACACCAATACCAATATTTAATATTCAAATAATTCCTGTGTAATGCTGTGTGTTATTCAAGACATAGAGTTAATTGTCTGTACAATTTTATACCCAGTTGGTTTGACAAAACTCTTGCAACTTTAACTGTATTGATTATTGTACTTTCAATTCGCATTGCCCAAGCGCATGCAAAACATGACATTCTGGCGATTTTTACATAATCTTTTATTGTCAATTTGCTCTGAGTTTTCAACCTCTTTGTTTCGATTGTTAATATAAAGTCGGTATGTATTAACAATAAATAAAACAAACAAAATATGATTTAGTTGAAGCTGTGAAGAGATTAATTTTCATAAAAGTATATAAATATGTGTCTTTGTGGTTCAAAACATGAATTAAAAAAATATAACTTCATTAGTGAGTTTTGTAGACCTGTACATGTTCCATTAACAACTTTTATGCAATTATAAATGTGTTTAAAATATATTTTGCCTTGTGTTTTGAGGCCTGATGAAAGACCATCAATTGAACAAAATCGATTGTCATAGTAATCCAGCGTACATCCAAATGTGTAAGACCAACTTTAAACTTAGGCCTACTATTCATAATACAATCGAATTGCAATGCAACAATTTCAAAGTAAGAATGCTATATTTAGACGAATTATATATATATATATGGTTTTCCAAATACCGCTTCGATTCCTAACATCACTGAAGAGACATTAGTTGTCGAAATCCGGATATTGTGTACTAATTTTTGCACCTTTTGTTTGAGGTATACCATCTTTTCCGCAGGTTCATTCTTTTCTGTTTGGTATTAAATTAATAGTTAAGATCCATTTTGTTACATCTGGTGATCTGTTTATTTGGCAATTGCCAATAGCAGTCAGCATGGTTTAAGAACATCCGTTGTTCGACCTGCTAGTCAAATGCGTTTTGTTAAAATATACTTTTTCACTTTTTTGGTCTTTTGGAAAATGTTGTTTGTGCTGTATTTATACCCCTCTAACAAGAAATTTGTTTTGCATGCACACGTATAAAAATTGCGGTTTTTATCCAACGCAATCATAGGTTTGAACGTTGTTTTCAATTTAGGCTTGTTTTTATATATATATATATTCCTTGATAATGCATTATTTATCAGATGTAGGCTTATTAGACTTGTTTCTTCCCCGATCTTTCTCATGCAGAAGAGCTTTGCGTATAGTCTTTGATTTTCATATAGTGTGAACTATGTATTTCTTCCACTGATGTCTTCCTATTTTTCTTACGCATTCCCAATTTTTATATGTGTTTATGGCTTAAAGATGAAATCATATTCATTTTAATATGGTTCGGTATAAGTTTATGGAGCTGTACGTCAAACTGAATTAAATTGTCCTGTTATGACATACAATTATCCATGATTTGAGTTTGAGTAGGTAGATGTTTCTTTATGTTTATATCCTAAAAGGATTCACTACACGCACTGTTAAGGTCTTATTAGCTTATAGATTATTGAGAAAACACAGAGGGGTCCGAAAAGGGGGAGGGGGTAAATTGTTTGATCCTTAATTTCTGAATAAATAAGTTAATTTATACAGGGAAGTGAAACAATACTTTGTTTCCCTTGAAAAATTATGATAAAATAAATACAACATTGAGTCTAAAAATAAATCTTGTTCATGACTATATTTGATATTGAAGAAAATAGTTTATATTCTAAATTAATTTGCATTATAAAGAAATTCAATGCATTTTGTACTAAATCTATTGTGTTCTTAGGCTTAAGAGTTGCATTCATTAAACATGAAACTTGTTTTTGGCAACTACTGGTATCAATTTCTTAAACCAAAAAAATCTGTAATGGATTTCCACCTTTTTATAGAAAATTTTAGAAATGTATATAATTTTAGAATTATATGCCCAAAATACAGCCTCGAATATTTTCCATTTAAAGTTTTTATCCAAAACTAGAATGCTGACTTTCTATCTGAAATGTTTTAATGTCTGGATATTTATGTATCTAGGCTGATGATGAATCCAGAGAAAAGTAGATTAACATTGAGCAAAATGTATTCATGGTCCTGGTCCTGGTGTGTTTAAAGTAATTTAAATGTGTGGTGCTTAATTTACATAAAAGGATGAAGTCCTTTCATAAAATTTTCGCAAAATCTTTATAAAAATAACTTAAGAATGATTGTTTTGCCTGATTTATTTCACATCTTACTTCTGTAGGATAACTAGCGGTTCAAATATATGCATATTAAGGCTAAACTTTCAAGCAAGTTTCCACAATGTGAAGCATTGCATCAGACCATACTGTCTGAAAGAAAAGTATAAAGCAAGAGTTCTTTCCATTCAGGCTTCTTGTATCATAGAAAATGCATAACGATGACGTAGTGGCATTTTCTGTAGCAAATATTGTTCAGTGTTATAATAATGTTTAAAAAATTTATATGTTCTCAATGTGTCTAGTATGGTCAGACTAGCTAAGCGATAAACGTAAACAGTAACCATTATTAAAAAAAATCAGGTTTTGGCTGAATAAATTTAGAAAAAAAATATTGGAAAACTAATGTATCATTTGTTGAAATAAAAAGTTGTGACACCAGATTTAAATGCATTAATAGTTCAAACCTGTTATTGTGCTGTATACCAGAATTGAATTTAATTAAGAATAAATTGAATCTATCATTGTTAAAAAAAAATAAGACTTTAGATACCATTAGTTTTTGGCAGAAGTCCTTTTGCGCCAATTACTGTTTTTCAGGGTATCATTTGCGCCAAATTTATTTTTTCAAATGTATCAATTGCGCTAATATTCGGAACTCATTTGCGCCAATTTACCTGTACACATATTTATCATACATATTAATGATTAATATTTATAGGTTTGATAACGAGGGAGAATGGGATGTCGCTTGATATCAACTTGAGTTATTAAATTTCAATATAAAACGAGCCTTCATCGAGTTTAATATTACTATTTAAATTAAATATCGAGAGTTGATATCAAGCGATATCCAATTTTCAAAAGTTGTTAAACCTATTTCTCTCATGGTTAACACTCTCAATGTGTTAAAATAAAAATTCCGCGGAATGTTGATCTAGTCTTTTGCACATTCCAGTATGACGTCATATGTCCTTTTCCGGTGTTACACTTTAACATCAGACATTTTAAGACTTTTGTACGCTCCGCAATGTAAAAAAAATGACAAAAAGAAGATTGTCAGGTGAAATATGTGAGTGTTTTTTATATTATTGAAGAAATCACATATGTCCGTTGCTATGGATGAAATGTATATCGTCTTAACCTTTGAAAGTCATCAATGACCTATCAAATAACCAAAGGAAATGCCGTAATATCGTCTTGTGAAGCTGGATAAGCCAATCAAATTAACGCAGATTTTCGTATCACACTCCGTGCAGTATGATACAAGAAATCGATAACAGGCCACAACCATAAGAGAAATATTTATTCTTATTTTTGGCTAATACAGTATCATTCGTGAAATAATTGTTACTCTTGGTGGTGAAAGGTGAGTATAAATAAATATAGAGTCTACCACTGTTTCGAGTGTGATACGATATTTATCCACTCGAGACATTTAAATTAGCAAATTTAAAACGGCAAGCCTCGCGTTTTAAATATTTAAAATGTCGAGCAGGGGCAGATCCAGCCATTTTCAAAAGGGGGGGGGGGGGGGGGGGGGGGTTCCCAACCCAGGATAAAGGGGGAGTTCCCACCATATGTTCCTTTTCAAATGCATTAATCGTCCAAAAAAGGGGGTTTACTAACCCCCGCCCCCCCCCCCCCCCCCCCCTGGATCCGCCACTGTCGAGAGTGGATAAATGTCGTAGTGCAAAAGATTTGGTGGTGGAATCTGTTTCTCTAATGATTTTTAAACGATATGCAGACAATCTTAAATCCTTCTTTTCGAACGACCTGCAAAAAGATGTGTCTATGCGACGTCATCAGGCATGCCGCCATTTTTCATGACGTCACAATAGGAATTTCAGAGGAAAGCAAGAACATTTGACGCCATAATCGAATTTTGACCAATGAAGAACTGAGATCAAACGAACCACACGTTGATCAAATAAAAATAATCAACAGGTCAGGAAAAGGATAAATTTAATGGAGTAAGAATTAGAGAATAGGATTTACACTATACTAAAGGTATGTATATAAACCAACACGTCATAAAAAGTGTTCAGTGAAGAATATAAAAAAATATAGTGAAGCTACAAGCTACTAAATACATTAAATTGCGAAGTACCCATGCAGCAGCAGTCAGAAGTAGACATGTTTCAGAAAGGGAAACATTTGACGTTCAAAAGTATGAAAATATGCAGAAGGAGAACGCAGCCGCAGAGACTTTGTGTTTGTAATGAGTTACAAATTCCAGCCTTTAATATAATATATGTGTTGTCCGACTGTACATAGTTTTATGTTTTAAAGTATTCTATTAAATGACTCAAAATGTAAACTGCCGGTCTCCACCCCGGATAAAGGAGGAGGGAAGTCATTTTTAATTGGCGCAATCGTATATTTTATTTGGTGCAAATGAAACTATGTAATTTTAAAACAGGTGGCGTAAATGTTGCATTGGAGAAAAAAGTTGTGGCGCAAAAGGACGCATTTTTTGGCGCAAACGGATTTCCCCCTAGATTTTATTAGATTTTGGATTTCTTTTTCTCATGTGAGTGCAAAACGTTCATTGGAATTCACACATACCTGTCTATA